CACGCACATACACACACGCGCGCGCACACACACACACACACACACACGATGTGTTTTAGACATATAGCCATGGCTGCTTCCCTGTGCAGCTAGCGCAGATGGGTGCTGGATCCTAGGTCAGTACAGGGCTGTAATTATAATGCAGAAGCAACAGGCTTGTCCCTCTAAGAGGACACATGTCCTTGCCTAGACACACCCTGTGATGCTGCTGTCCTGCCTCAATCTTTACTACTATGAGAGAGTCATTACTACAAGCCTAGATTGGGTTGCTCTCAGCTATGTAGGCTTGGGGGAAAATGTTATGTGCAATATCCTTTGATGGGGATGAGCCAAGATCAGACAACTTACACAATCACCTCTTATAAGAGTGCGGTGTAGAGAACGTCCGTGTCTCCACTGACAACATGGAAAGGAAGGGAGGAGCCCCAAGTCTAAGGTGCTGTTTGCTCTGCTTGTGTCAGGAGTACTGAAGATCAAGGGAGATAATGCATTCTCTGAAACTTCATAATGAGTAAATAAAAATCATTGCACTCTCCTCACCATTCCAGGCAGCTCAGCCCCTGGTGCCTAGCTGCTGAGGACACCATCCACTTGGCTGGATTTGCTGCAACAGACCTCTCGAAGGCAGTGCCAGCCCTGAACACGGGCAAACTTAAATTTGTTTCATCCCATGGGATGCTGATTTGGGGAAATGCTGCCTATTATCTTCCCTGCTGAGAGTGTATTTAACACAAAAGCTGGAGTGATTCTGCAGCCCAAACAAACTCAACTGCAGCTACACAACTCATCTGGTTTTTTGAGTTCAGCACTTTCTAGTGTACTGGTGCCCTAGGGCTGTTGTATTAAAGTACTACAAACTAGAAGCTTCAGAAACAGGAATTCATTTTCTCACAGTTCTGAACGTCAGAAGACCAAAATCAAAGGAGGGGTTGGCTGGATTATCCATGGTCCCTCTCTGAAGGCTCTGGGGAAACAGTGTCCCCATGGCTTTTCCTAGCTAGTGGTTGTCAGTGATACCCTGTCTCTACCTTCACATGGCATCCTCCTTCTGTGTCTATGTATGAAGTTCCCACTGCCACTCATGGAACTAAAGCCAACACTGAACCAATATGATTTTACCTTAACTTGGTATGTCTATTGTCTGTGGAGACTCCATTAAACAAGGTCATGTTCACAAATTCCAGCTTAGGACTCCAATATATCATTTGTGTCAGTCTGTCTGTTTTTCTTTGAGAACAGAGTCTCAAAATATATCTCCACATCCACCCCCAAGACACCAAGCTTATTTGAACCCAAAGCCCTCTCATCAATGCCTTACCCAGGAACATCTAGCAAATGTACACAGAATGCATCTTTCCTTTTCATTAGAACCTATTTGAATATAATATCACCAGACATGGCAATACACATTGAAGAACTATAATGGTATTTTAAAAACTAGTAGGAACAATTCAGAATATGGGTCCTCACTGGTATATCATGAATTTGAGACCAGGGTGCAAATGGGCAGCTTGTACTTAATTCAAAAAGTAATTATTACCACAAGGTCCTATGCAGGATGATGGGAGAGAAAAGTCATTACCACTCTTACCCAGCTGTGAACTGGGCAAGGAACAATAACAACCAGCCTGGCAAGAAATGTCCATGGGTTCCATAGTGGCATGAACATTATGGGGCTTACCAACCACTTTCTGATTTAAGGCCTGCTCCACAGGAGGAGATGTGTGACTGATATTGTTTATCTGGCCAAGACCCCATGACTGGGGAGCTCATAGGCCCTAGGGATGAACTTACTGCTGCTATTTTGTTAGATGGACATAATATCAAACTGTCTTTTGCTTTCCAATGAGCAGGATCAAGACGTTATTGTTTCTTTACACCCATAGATTGATGGAATTCTCTGCCCTCACCAGAGGAGGTTCTTTGTACAGTGGACAGTGGTTAACACAGAGACTTATAACTGGTCAAAGTGCAGAGAATAAGGACTGTGGTGTGCTCAGCCATAATTGGGATATCTATATCATATCTATTGTGCCACAGGCTTAGGAAACTCAAAGAGGGGCAGAAAGATTCTAAGAACCAGAGGTCAGAAAGGACTGGGTTGAGACAGTGTATTCTGGACATTCTAGGACCAGTGCACTTGAACTCACCTCAGTTACAGTTGTTTGCATGAGATCAAGCCAGTCAACATTCTAGCATGGATGGAGAGGGACTCACTGCCTCCCACCCATAGCTTAGGAACCATTGACAACTGTTGGCTGCTAAGAGAGAGAGAGGGAGGGAGAGAGGGGGAGAGAAAGAAATTTTTCTTTAAGGGTATGGTATCTAATAGGATGCCTATGCCTAAGTAGATGCCCTTACATTCATGTGCATATAGGTGTCACAAAGTGGAACCAACAGTTTATGAATAAAGGACATAAAGTTGGGGAGGGCAGAAGTAGGGGTGGATCTCGGTGGAATTAAAGTAATGGGGTAAATATGATTAAAATATATTGCATGCATGAATGAAATTCTCATATATAAAAATATTCTTAATTAAAAAGAAGTACAAATTAAACAAATTACTGGCCCTGGCCTAGGATTATGGGGAACATGGAGAGGAATAGAAGAGGTCTCTGCTTTTAGGTGATGAATAGATTAACAGCAGAGCCAAATGCTTCAGGAAAGAGTTGATGGTGTGAAGCAGAGGTAACTTAGGATGAGGTGCAAAGCACACAGACTGTAGGAGCATTAAACAAGGTCCCCACCCCCTTGCTGTGATTCAGCCTAGACTTGTCACCCCCTGGTTAGTGTCAGTGTCTCTCACATCTGACCACACTTATTCAAGCACTTCTAAAAGTCATAGTGGGGATTTGCACTGGGTCATGTGCAAATGTATTTGTGATATTAAATGTCAGGTACAGCTGGTACCCTGAGTTAGGTGTAGAAATGGAAGAACACACACCTCCATGGAAAATTCTCTTAGATTCTGTGGTCAGGAGGCTGCCTTTTTAGACTCAAATATCACTCAGAGTTATCTCTCTCCATCACTCTGGACCCTCCTGGGCTTAGTGAATTAAGCATGACTGACGGCTCCTGTTCCAGGTCAAGTCAGAGCAAGGACTCAACCCAACATGTATCCTACTAGACAATAATGATCCGTTTTTGTTGATAGGAATAATTAAGTTTTCATAGCACTGCTATTATTTTTTAATACTAATATACTGTTCTAAAGATTAACGACCCCCAAAACCCAAGGCAATGAGTTATCAGTTCCCCAACATTTGGAAACACCCTTCAAGGCCCCAACCTCCCTTTCTCACTGCCGTGTGACAAGCATTGACATCAAGCTTGGCAGGAGCTCTTAAACACTCAACTTTGACAGAAGAAAACAAGAAAGACATCATTCACAATAAGAAGAAACTACATTTGTGATTAGGGAGAATTTGCTAATAACAACCCAAAGCACATGTTCCCAGTCAGTCACCGTGGAGGCTGATGCTTGGGGAGCAGGAGCTGTGAAGGAAGACAGCGTGGCATGCCTGTATCTGTGCCCTTTCTGGTCCACTTACTGTCATCCTTTGGGGAATTCTAAGCCTTGGAAGTCCAGTGAGGACTTTTTTGTCTTTGGAAAGAAATACACAGGGCTGTCCCATAACTCCAGCCTAGTCAAAGATATTTTCAACACACAGATAGTAAGATTACAAAAAGGTTGAGTTTACATGTGAGTCCTTCATGCAAATTAACTTTAGTCTCAGCCAGGTGTGCTCACACAGATAACTTATTCAAGGCTACATAGTATATGCCAACTTCTACCTTCATTCCTTCTCTCCAGTTTACAGTCACTGGTTCCACTGGGAACATAATTTTCAAAAACAAACACTGCCCTCCATCTACCTTCATTTAATTTAATTTGGTATTAATGTCCAAAGAATGTGGTTTGCCCCATTGAAATTGTTCAGAGGCCACTGCACACTGAGCCATGGAAACCAGAAAGTTCCTGCTAGAATCAGATTACCCAGCTCCTTTGAATTTATGGTTTCAGAAGCACGGATGGCAGTCACTTGGGTGACAGGTATGGACAGTACTGCCAGGATGTTATCAAGCTCTTAAATGCTGGTACCACAGTTGTCCAAACTTCTCATTTCAATGTGTAACATAGGTGTGAACAAACCAGGAAGAAAAAATATGTTTGACTTAGGAGCCAAGAGTGTTTTTATACCCTATCATTACTCTTTCTGGAGATGGTACCACAGAGAGGATGAGGTTAAGGCTAAAACCAAAGCCTCTGTACTAGACCGAGAATAAACTATGGTTTCTGACTTTATGCACTTACCCATCCCTACAATAAAGAGATGATTCCACAAATCACACAAAAGACATTCTCTCATTAGAGACTAGCTGCTACTGAAAGTAAATAAGAGAATTTCCATTAGAAGATTCTGAAATTGCCATCCGTACATGCTTACCTCTGAGACCAGAAAACAAATGTGCCAGAGGAAGGCTGGCAGGGAAAATGGAACATCATGGAATTGTTTTCAAAGGGGAAATTAATTGGTTATTTCTATTCTGGCTTAGATGAAGCTGTAAAAATCTAATCAGAAACATTTTTCATAGAGGCTTTGCCTGTCCAACAGTGAAACTTCCCAGACCACAAACCATTGTGTTTGTGTGTGTGGGGGGGGGCTATTATTGATGTTTTTCTGGGTGAAACCAAATGACTTCAAATGTCACCCCAACATGAGGGTCTTCATCAGAGACTATACATGTGGTGCTGAGTGAGCCAGTTCCCAGGAGCCGCCTCTGATACTTGAAGGCAGGAGCTCCTGACTTCACAGGCAAATCCAGCCTTAAGCTCTTGGGTCTCTTGAGCCAAGAGGCAAACAGCTAGCATGCAGGGAAGACCACATGGTGTTTCAAAGAACAGCCTCCCCACTGTCTAAGTTCATGTTAGTTTCAGCCAAGCGCCTTCCAAAATGTCAGTGCCAAGAATGATATAGATGTAAGTAAATTTTTCCTACCTTCTCTTCTTGTGACTTCAAAGCCTCTGGTTTCCTGAAAGAGAGAAGAGATGTGGTTTTGAAGAATAATTCATAGATACAGAAGGTACAGATAGTTACAAATGACTCCAATCTTGTTAGTTGCATTTTCACCAAAAGGTGTATCGAGTAATAAGGTCAGACAGTCAGCAATGTTGGGTCTCCTAACCTCACACACACATGGGTGAATGCACATAAATCATAAATAAACACACTTGTAAAATGTAAAAAACTTATTACTTTGGAAACTTAGATTTAAAAAACACATTATTGGGACTAGAGAGATTAAGACTATATACACTGGTTTTGTAGAAGACCCCAAGTATAGTACCCAGAACCTATGTGTGGCAGTTCACCTGTGACTCCAGCCCCAGGGAATCTGACCCTATCATTTGGCCTCCTCCAGCAACTACACTCATATGGATACATTCTAACACCCAACACATACATACATGTAATTAAAAATAAAAATTAAACCTTTAAAAATGCATTGTTAATCATGGCTCTTCTTCATTTGCAGTTTGGGCCAGTTCAGTTCCAAGTATTAAAAAGGACAGTTCTAGGATGTGGTCCTATGCTCAGCCTCACCTCTATATGTGATTATATGGCCCCCAGAAAAAAAAAAAGTCACACAGTGCATGATTATAGCCAACACATAGTTCCCAAAGGCTGAGATCTCATGGGCAGGAGTGATCTCATGGTCAGTGGGCTAAGTTAAGCCCTTTGGTTTACATAATCTAGTCTCAGGGATCTTCTTGATGCCTGTGCTCTGTGCAGTGCAATAAGAAAATTCTTTCAGAAACTACCCAGGTGCCACGGGATGTCTGCATTAAAATTCAGTTGAGCAGGGAGCTTCAGAAGAAATACACATTACTGAGAAATCAAAGGGCGATTTGCCTTGATAAATGCCAGCATTTCAAATTCAGCTGGAAACAAGGAAAATTATTTTTTAAGAGAATCTTTGAACATGGCACTGAATAATGGGCAAATTTTTAGGAAGGGAGCATCAAGGGAGAGAGCACCAGGATGAGAGGGTGAGAGAACAGGAGGTCACACACTGAGTGAGTATACGGTGGGCTAGGGGAGAAGAGGAAGGTCCCCGTGAGAAGAATTAAAGAGAGAAGGCTGGAAACACAAACCACGGTTTCATGACAGATCTGAAGAATCTACAACTCATCATAAATGACCAGTTTAAAATGAAGACTAAAAGGTTGAGACAAACTGGAGCTCTGCACTGTCTGCTAAAAGAAAACAACAAACCTCTCCCCACCAAGATCATTCAACAGCACTGTGCTGTAAGCAGGGGGCCTGGCCTTTCCCACCTTGGCATTCTTGTATAGCATCCTTGTGTAGCCAGGAGAGGGAAGCAACAATAGAGGTGGAACAGGAGACCACACTGGAAAGTTTTCCTACCTATGATGGTCAAAGTATCATCTTGCCCACCTAGAATGACCTGGGAAGAGAGTCACACTTAAGAAATTTGAGGGATGAACTAGCTCATTTAGCCTCTGGGCATGTGTGTGGGGATTATCTTGATGGTTACTTGACAAGAAAAGGGCCCAGCCCATTATGGGTAACATCATTGTTTACGAAGGGGATTCTGAATTATATAGCAGTGAATAAAGTTAGCTGAGCAGAATGGGCAAGCAAGCAAAGGTGTGTGTGTGTGTGTGTGTGTGTGTGTGTGTGTGTGTGT